AGCTTCTCTCTAGTTCTGAAATCTGAGCTCTTGTGAAGTTGGGACCAAGAAGGATTATGATGGTCATGTTGCCAGAACACCCAAAGTCCTGGTCCTAGTTCAGGGACCCACCAGACTGAGCACCTTTCTGACCTGTTCACAGCTCACTCTCTCAGAAAACACCCCTCAAAACCAATGGAACCCTTCTCCAGGTAGTCTCCCTGCCTTTCTGTTCCCTCTTATTCCGTTCTGTTTAACAGCCAGAATGATTTTGCTAAGCACATGTCAGACCATGTGACGTCACCCACTGGAAGGTCCTCAGGGCTCCACCTTCTCTTCTCAGACATTACCCACAAGTCTGAGTCATTCTCCTCTCTTAGCCCCAGAGCACTGTTCCTTTTCACCCTGTGCTCTGCCTCCACAACCAACTTACCATTTCTCCATTCAAGTCCTGTTCATGTCTAGGGCTCAAACTGAGCTTCTTTCACTCGCCACTTAGCTAACTGCTACTCACCTTGGAGACAGACAGTCTTCCAGCTTAGGCATTCCTCTGGGAGCAGAACCATACTATTATTACAGTGAAGAGTAATTTTCCCTTGTCTATATCTTAGTTACTAAAAGCAGAGTCAAGGGAAAAGTGCTTATCTTTTCCCTTATGGTGTCCTTAGTTCTGGGTCCAGTGTCCACGAGCAATCCAAAATTGGTCTGAGAGGCAGATTAAGCAAGAGAGGATAGCCAAGTCCATCTCTTGGATGGACTTGCCCATTCCCGGAGATCCATATGCATTATGACCAGTTACGAATACTACCCGCCTCCCAAAACTTTTTGGCAGTTCTTAGTTCCATCTCCCCTCACATTTGGAATATGCTTGCCTCAAAAAGGCAATCCTGGATGAAAGCCAGTAGTCCTCACCAATTTTCCAGCCCCGGGAAGATGGATGGTAACTCTTTGAGTCACTATTTCCAGGCACATCTATGGGGAGATATGTTTTTAAAGAGCATAGGAAGATTCATGGTTGAAATTTCAAGATTTGCCTGAAGGATGGTCAAAAAGAGCTGGCTGCTGCCATGGCCAGTGGTGCAAGTTAACAACCTGGGGTGGACAGGGAGGAGGTCACAGCTATCTCTTGACCCTCAGTAATTCCCCCAAGTGGCTGCTGAGAACCATCTTGCTCCTCAACATCACAGCCACGCAATGAACAGACTGACCGGGCTTCAAAGCTCTGTAAACACGCTGTGGCTGAAAGAGCGCTAGAGCCTGAATGGCAGGAGTGAGAGATTAGAGACAAGACTGTCAGCCCCAAAGGGCCTTGAGGGTTGCATTGTATGTCATGAGACCCGGCCACTGTTGATTTTCTAGTGTTGCTATGGGCAGATGATCATCACTATCTCGACTCTGGGCGTCAGCACATGGAGATACACCAGGCAACTGGATGAGAGCAGCTTTCCCAGCTTAGAAATATTTTCCCAGGAAAATGGAAAAAGGGACTGGAACATTAAGTGAAACAGGAAATGAAACTGACCAATAGGCAGAGAGTCCAAAGCCAGCTCACTCCCTAATTTGCAGTTTTAAATTCTCAATAATATTTTTCTTAACTTGGGGCCTTTTCAAATTTTCACCAGCTGATCAGCACTGGCTGTTATCAGATGCCATAAATCTCTCTGCCTCTTTGCAAGAGGTGATGGGAAAGTACCTTTCTCTGTTCTGTTATTGTTCTTAGGTCATGATTCTCATAGCAGGGAAGGATCCCAATGTCCCATAAAATGGCCTGGACCAGGTCCTGGGGCAGCTTCTCTGAAAGCCAAGTGCCTCTATATCTGAACTAGAGAACGTTCTCTGTATGACTGCAACTGCACCACAAAACCTTCCCAAGAGCAACCATGGGGGAGAATCAGAGGTTAGAAGCATCCTGAAAGTGGGGAAGCTTCTTTCCTGAAAAAAAAAGACTGTCCTTGTCCCATATTTGGTGTATGAATTGTACCTCCTGTAACCAGTGCCATGAGCCGGCATCATCAGAAAGAATTTTCATAGTTCTTGGGAGGCAACATGGAGTAATGGAAACAAGGGCTCCGTCAGATGGTTCTGATGAACCTCATGATCCCTTGTACTCATTTCCACTGTAGGTTCTGGAATAAAATGAATGTCATGCCAAGGAAACACGGAATGTAGACATAGCTCAATAGGGGTCACAGACTCCAATTCTACAGGGACCAGGCAGGACTGTGAATGTATAGGGCTGATCTATCGGGCCAAACAGGAGGTGCACCCTCACCTGGCGGAGGTGGCTTCCACTCAGTGTCCATGGGTGTATGCTGCACGTCACTATGGTGAGCCCTAAAACTAGGAAGGCTCACAACTTGAAATGGGTGGCATAGGCCAGCCCCGGCCAGTACCTGTGAACCACTGGTCATCACAGCCTGCCTCATTTTGCCCAAAGCACAAAACACAACCTTCCTCCAATTTAGATTTAAAAAGTTACACTTCGACATACACTGTGCAATATTCAGCCATAGGAAAAGCTAAAGTTTCACCACTGGCCATGAAATAGAAAGAGCTGGAGGGGATTAACCAGGAAGATGGATTTCACATATATGAGTAACATAAGGAAACAAAGCAAATGGACGAACAAAGCAAAATAAAAATAAACGAGCAGGTAATCTTTGCATGAGTTACCGGAGTAACTGAGGTAAAAAAAAGTGAAAGGAGTACCCGGGTGGGGTGGTGGAGGGTATTTTGTTTGTTCTTTTTCTTGTTTTATGTATTAATTCTCAAAGATTATGCGGCCCTCCCTGGTGGTGCAGCGGGTTAAAGCACTGCACTGAGAAACTAAAAGCCACTTCCGCATGAGTTCGATTCCCGCCGGCCCTGGAGGTGACTACATGGCGCGGCAGATCTCTCCTGACCCACCCGCTGCTCCCCTCAGCAGTGTACTTTGATCATCTGCCTGTTATGCGGCCCTCCCTGGTGGTGCAGCGGGTTAAAGCACTGCACTGAGAAACTAAAAGCCACTTCCGCATGAGTTCGATTCCCGCCGGCCCCGGAGGTGACTACATGGCGCGGCAGATCTCTCCTGACCCACCCGCTGCTCCCCTCAGCAGTGTACTTTGATCATCTGCCTGTTCTGCTCCCCATTTTGTCTCTGGTGAAGCCTCTCACCGCCTCTGAGCCTCTGGCCTGTACCCCAGTTCTGTATGTACAAATAAATAAATCGTAAAAAAAAATTAAATTAAATTAAAAAAAGATTATGCATACAATAACTGAGGTATAGGCCAGAGGTACGGTTGGGGGGGGGG